ACATATTCACAATGTTCTCATGCACACTCATCACATAATTGTATACACATCAAGCATTCACAAGTTCATTAAATAATACACACATAATCACCTATTATGTCACATGTATTTATACTTGATGCAATTAACATTCAAATCACAATTCTAGGATTCACGCCCGTAGGCTACCCACAGCACACGTCATCACAATAGTACATGAACTATGCGATTAATCAAGCAATAAACCATAGTCGGGCCACACAATCAACCTATGGATAAATCTTAAATAAAACATTAACCTGTCATACTCGCTACTCCTTCGCTAAGCGAACTCCTAGCGAGTATTCGCTACCTGTTCGCCTGGCGAACATGCTAGCGAATCTCAACAGAAGTTACTGACTTCCTTCGCTACCTGCTCGCTACAGCGAGCTTCCAGCGAACCATTTCGCTATCTGTTCGCTACACTTTTGCTACCAGCGAACACACCAAATCCATTCTGTCCAAGTCTGGGACCATTCGCTACTTGTTCGCTGAGCGAACTCCTAGCGAGCATTCGCGACCTGCTCGCCTAGCGAGCTGCTAGCGAGTGTCTGTGTATTTTGTTTTTCACTTACTGTTATCCAACTCAACCAACTCCAAAAATTCCAAATCTCACTAATCCAACTCCAATACTCTTAGTCTAACATTCCTAGACTATTCTACATCATCTATTTCAGATTTTAACCGATTAAATCAAAGTTCTACCGATTAAATCCAACTTTGCCCTAAATGGAAAAGGATGGAAACTACCCCACAATCCAAACCCAACATACATAATAGTATACAATGATCAAATAACAATGTTTCTCACCCTTACCTCGATTAATCGGGAGCTTTGATGTTGGTTCTTGATGATTTTCCACTTTCCTCTTCTTCTCCTCCCTTTCTCTTCTTCTTTCTCTTCTATTTCCTTTTCCTTACTATCTTTTCTTTTCTCTTCTACTTTCTTTATATACTTCCTTATTTTCTTTCCTTCCCATTTCTCTCTCAATTCTCTATTAATTTCCAATTAATAAAAATTAATTTCCAACATTAATAAAAATCCCACTAAATCAATTAATTACTATAATTAATTATTTAATGAAATTCGAGCTGTTACATTACCGGAGGGGTTTGTTAGGGTGGCCGCCGGCAGCTTTGCATGGTCGGCGGTGGGATTCAGGCGAGGTGATGCGGTGGCAAGGGGAGTGAGGGAGAGCGAGACACGTGTGGCTGGGTGCTACGCGTGTGGGACGCGTGTCAGGAGAGAGACTGAGTGGGGATGATACGTGGAAGGAGAAGGGTGAGAGAGAAAGTAAGGTGGAGAAGAACTGGGCTGTACGCGTGGCACACGCTTTATAGGACGCGTGGCACTTTCGAACTGGACCTGAATTTGAATTTCTGGACCTGGGCTTTGATGGATAATTGCTGATTGGGCCCAAATGATTAATCCAAATTAATGACAAAACCTAATTAAATCCTAAACCAAGATTAAGATAAAATCTGATTAGCACCTAATTAATTCTAATTAACTAAAAAACGAAAAATAAAAAAATAAATCCTAATAAACCCTAGTTAAGACCTGATATTAATCCTAACTAATTTCTAAAAACGAAAATAAAATAAACAAAACCCTAATTACATTTGAAAACTATTATTTAATCCTAACAATTATCTTCTTTTTTTTCTTACTCCTAATTAATTCTGAAAGATAAAATCAAAAAATCTAAAAAAAAAACCTTTAATCTCTATTTATTATATTTTTTTATAATTCTTTTTTTAACACAATAAATCTCTAATCTAAAACATTATCTATTATTACTATTATTTTTTCTACTCTTTTTAAAGAAAAATAGCTATTTATCTATTAACTATTAAAAGAAAATTAATCCCTAAAATTTATTAAAAAAAACTATAATATCTAAAAATCTATTAATTTCTAAAAAATGAAAAGAAAATTTATTTAAATTCTAAAAAAAAATAAAAACTCTATTAAATCCAGAAAAATCCACTTAAATGCATTAAAATCCAGGAAAATGACAGAAAAATCCTAAAAAATGCCAGGAGGCCGATTAAATCGAATAAAATCCAATTACGCAACCGTAGCGAAACCCGGGCCACCGAGATGGCCTGAAAACACCAGGAACGAGCACCAATTCTCAGCAGACTTTTATTTCGACCGGCCTGAACTGCCTGAAACGCCAGGGGCTATAATCCCGATAAAACCCATCTGAATGATAAAAATGCAATGCATGCCGTATGCGAATGCGAATGCAAAATGCGTCGAACATAAACCAGATATGAGGACCGGTTGGTCAAATTTTAGGGTGCAACACCTTCCAATCACCGCATTGGTGAGATTAACCTATTATAGGTTGCCATCACTTTTCGCAACTAGAGGCGAAAGATGGAGTGCAGTGTTAATGTCGAGTCAATTATTCAGTGAATGCATAATGAGAGTGATGAAAGAGGAATTATCAAAGCCATCACACATGCAGTTATAGTCTTTGACCGTCATAGACAAACTTTCAGTGTATAGAAAACAATGGACCTCAATGAGGGATGCCAAATTATCCTATACTGTCAAAACTAAACAGATGTTGGTGTGACTGTGGCAAGTACCAGGCCTTCTGTGTACCTTGCTTCCATGGCATTGCGGCATGCGCACATGCTCGTCAGGACGCTTACAACCATCTATCTGATGTTTACAAGGCCATTAACATTATGAATGTCTATAATGAAGTTTCACAGTGGTAGCAATGGAGGAATATTGGCCTCCATACTAAGGGGACATAGTTTGTCACAACGATGAGATGCAAAGAAAGAAAAAGGATGCCCAAACAACACGCGTATAAGAACAGAAATGGATACGGCTGATAAAATGATAAGATTGTGTAGTATATGTCGTCTGCCCGGACACAATCGGAAAAATTGTCCCAATGTCAGAGCAACCTCTGCATCATAATTTAGTTTCTCCTTTCAATTGTTGTAACTTTAGATTTTGATATATTAATGACTTTTTGTTACACAAAGTTAACAACAAACAACATATACAACATATATCATAACAGAATAAACATAACATTTCTAACTGATTACAACAATCAAACTGATATCATTTGATCCAAACATCACATCCCTCGCATCCTTGTCAGTCTTAACGCGAACCCACCCACGCAGGGCATCGAGTCTCTAGATACTTCTAATTTTTTCCTCTTCAAGTATGTCTTTGTCTAACCAACGATTTAGCTCCCTCTGTGGTTGCTTGAAACTTTAAATGTCCAAAAAAGCATGTCCATCGGAAGCTTCTCTCTCGAATAAATCACTTTTCCGTAGCGGTGACGATACATGTTATAGTAATACAAGAATATGAGATGAGATGTGAAATAAATTATCACACCACCTCTATTTATAGTAAAAATTGCACTTCCACTCTGTCTCCCGTTTAATTTGTGACAACATTTAAGACTTTACACTGTGGCGCCAATTGGATTAGCAACACCATGTAGTAAGGAGTCGCCATTTTTTATGGCACCTTCACTCAATTAATACCCAAAAGTGAGATATTTTAGAAAATAATTTAAAAAGTGGATTATTTTAAAATAAAAAAATTTGAAAAAGTAGGATATTTAAACAAAAAATTCCTTCTAATATTCAACTCTCATACAAAATTTATTACAAGACTTTCCATCAATAACTCTATTTCATTTTTTTTATCAATATCAATATAATTATAACTCTATTTCATTATATTTTAACTATAATTTATTTATAAAATTTGTAATTTACTAATTTTTAAAAAATAAATATATTAAAAAGAAAAAACAA